CACAGGTGACGTTTGCTTACCACCGTCACTGGTCATCTTAGGGTGATTTCCTCACTGACCTCTGTTCACACTGGGGTACTTACACCTGGTGGAGTCTCCTACCCAGGACACCCCTGTGTGCATGGAGCGGGGTTACAGTGTGGTGCTTGCCACTGCTCTCTCAGCCCCTTGTTCCTCTCCGGGCAGGAACTCAGTGTGCCACATCTGTCGCTATCTATAGTGTCATTCGCCGGAGGGACCTTCCATTCTCCACGGTGTGCATCTCGTCACCCTTCACTGCGGCACAGTTTGTGTAATTCAGTCTCTGTGACAGGATAATCAGCAGCTTTGAAAGGAGTTCTGCAGTAATCCTCCCATTAGGTCCACCCACTCACCCCTCTGCTGAAACTACTGTTAAAGGCCTATCCTCCTGGGATCTCGGCAGTTTCTGTTGATTAGTTTTGACCACCTTTTGAATTTTCTCTCTTCTTGGCCTCCTCAGTGCATTCTCAGCCTCTCCCCACCCCATCTATTGACCGCCCCTTCTGTGTCTTCATAGGTGGTTCTTGTCCCTTCCAGACTCCCAGTGCCTTTGCTCGTGTATATAAAAAGAGATGGATTGTACTTCTTTGTGTGCCAGGCTGCCCTAGGTGCTCTGAATATGGTGATGAAGACACAGTTCTTGTCAGAGGTGCCGCCTGCCAGTTAGACTGTCACCGAGCGGGGTAAAGTGTGATTTTGAAAGGGTCACCACAGAGATGCAAAGGGGACAAGGGACCATGGCTCGTGGGAGGGCTGCGAGGAGCTTCTAAAAGAGATGAGAGCACTGTGCCCCTGGAGGACATGACGGATTAACTGTGCCCAGGGGAGCAGTGCTCTCAGCAGGAGGACCCGCGTGTGTAGAGGCCAGGAAGGCTGCGGAGATGGCTGCGGGAGGAATGGAAAGCCAGATGGCTGGCGCGCAGAGCAGAACATGGCTTCGGGGGCTGCAGGGCCTTCCAGGCCACTATAGAATTTGGGTTTCAGTTTCAGCCATCAGTAAGTTTTAAACCAAAAAGGAAGCTAATCCAACTTCCATTCCTGCTCGCTCGTGGACAACAGCTCAGGTGAGGAGAGCAGGTGAGTGCACCATGGTGACCCACGTAGAGGTGCTGGTCACTATTGAGACCTTGTGGTCTCCCATTTGTTCAAGTTTTTGTACATTTGTGTTTTGTTTATTTTACTCCCTAACCAGTTAATTCCTGTTCTTTTTTTTTTTTTTTAAAGACTTACTTATACATACAGAACTGGGGTACAGAGTTGCAGGGGAGGTGAGAGGACTCACCAGAGACAGAGTGGGGAGCAGAACAAGCCAACTGATGAAGTACAGTGCTGAGGGAAGCAGCGGGTGGGTCAGAAGAGGTCTGCCACGCCATGTGGGTCACCTCCCTGGCTGGGGGTCAAACTCGCACTGAAGTTGCTTTTGCCAGCTTGCAGTGCTGTGCCTAACCTGTTGCGCCACCAGGGAGGGCCTAACCAGTTATACTTGATGTCTTTTTCCTCATCACTTGTGCCCCTAGCCTCGTGATCACCCTCTTTGAGAGTTCAAGTCACTTACGTTGTCATCTCCTTGGACCGTCTTAAATTTGGTCTGGAAACCTTGTGGCACAGAGAGACGCTCAGACCCAGGGCCTCCCCACAGCTCTGACCTGCCTGTGCCTCAGGGCAGAACTTCCTGAACCCACCTTCTCCTTCCTTAGAAGCTTGCTGCTGCCTGTGTCTTTTGGGCCAGCTGGGCTCTAGAGGGCAGCACATGCCCCCAACTTCCCAGCTCGGCCATTCTGCTTCCTCCATCTCCATTACTTTCTCTGGTGTTGAGAATATCAGCCTTTTACCCCAGCTAGGAAGGATCCCTGTCCAAGTGGAGCTTTCAGTTAACCTGAAGACAACTGGTGCCCCTGCTATGTTACAGTGCCGGATAAAATGGCCAGCCCCTCTGGTGCTAATGTGCTGTTACACTTAGGAGGCTGGAGGGAGAGCCCCCAAATGAAAGAAATGTGGAGAGAACTGGAAACCCAGCCCCAAAAGAGCACCGAGCCGTTATCAGCCATGATGAGGGGGCAGCGGCTAGAAACCCCAGGTTCTGCTTTGTCTTTTTTTTTTTTTTTTTGATAACTCTGAAACCATAAAAATATGTTTGGCACATGGGTTGCCTACAAATATCCACAGGCCAGATTTGACCCCGTGCCATTTTGCCAACCCCTGATAAAGAGTGTGGGTTTACGTCCAGATGAAGATAAGGGGGTAGGTGGGTGGGTAGAATCTCAAGTTCCTGAGAAGGGGGCTCGCTCTAAAGACTGGATCATCAAAGAAAGAGATATATTAGGGAAAAGAATTTGCCTGTTTTCCCAGGAAGATGACAAAGAAGCTTGCCATATAATTTTAAGTCCTTTCTCGGTATATGAAACCATGGACATGCTGTGTTATACATGGAATGGGTTTTAAATTTATATCCCCTGAGCTACATTGAACCCTGGAGAGCTGTAGAGAAGAACCCAGGGAGTCTGTGAATTTGGATGGGAAAGCAAATTGCATTCTATTTTCATTAAGTTCCAATTGAGTTTTAGAATTTTCTCCAGTTAAGAAGGTAGGCAGCAATTTGGTTGAAACTGGAGGGGGTTATGCTAAGTGAACTAAGTCAGAAGACAGACAAATGCTGGATGATTTCATTCATATGTGGAATATTGGGAAGCTAAGCAGAGAAACAAAATCAAAACCAAAACTATTCCTAGAAATCTCACTATAGAATTGAAGCGTCTGGAGCCTGGGTGTGGGGAGGGGAGATCATGGGTGTTGGGGCGGTGGGCATGGTGTGGTAACATCTGAAGAGGTACACAGCTGTACTCACATACAGTGTTGTAAACCATTGTTACCTCAATAAAAAGAATACAGTTTCAATAAGACAAATGAATTTCCCCAATAAAACTCAACTATTCTCTTTTAAAGAGGTAGGAAACAACCCACAGTGGTATTAGTATTTGTGACTTTGCCACTGATAGAAATCCAGATATTTTCACACCAAGATGTAGCCCATGTATTTTTCATCTCCAAATTTTTTAGATTCTGATATGTGTATTTCACTAATACTATCAGAAAATTCAAAACACGCTTCTGAATATTTGTAAACATTTAGAATTTAGAAACTAGCAGCAGTATAATTTTATAGCGAAGCTTGTAGGCTCACAGGGGTAATGCTTAGGGGAACGAAAATCAATGAGGTATTCAAAAAACTAGGGAAAGGACTACAAAATAAGTTCAAAGAAGGTCTACAAATGGTAAGATTAAAAAAATAAGGCAGAAATTAACAAAATGCGATGACCAGGAAAGTCACAACTTGTACTTGGAAAGATGAGCGAGGCACCTGAGGCAGAGGTAGTCGAAGGCTGCGTGAGCCATGGGTCGGCGGCCGGGGAGCGGTGCGTGTCTGCAATTAGAGGAGAGTCTGGTGCGCCTTGGGTGCCAATACTTATGAATGCTCGGGGGAAAAAATGAATGGTTTCCCGGAATAACATTTAACAATAACCGACTCCAGAAGGAGGGAAAGCAGAACTCCCATTTTGGAGAATGAGCCACGGGTGGAGTGAGTGCCGAAGAGATTTTGAACTGGTTCATTTGTTCAACAGGTGCGTATGGCTCCCACTCCGTACACCATGGGAGACGGTGGCAGGGTAGCGGCAAAACAAAATAGCCAGAGCTCTGTACTGTTGGTTCAGGCCCGGAGGACTTCCTATGATGATAAAAATGTGTTGTGCTGTCTTGTCCAATATGGTGGCCATGGGTCACAGGTGGCCAGTAGGCACTTGAGATCATGGTTGGTGCAACTGGGAGACTGAATTTCGACTTTGATTTGAGTTTGAATAGCCATGTGTGGCCAGTGGCTATGGAACCAATAAGAGCAATAATGTGTCTGTGGCTTCCTGTAAGAGAACGAGTAGTAGAACTCTTTGGGCCCTGGTCTTTCCAGAAACAGCTCCTCAGGCTGGGGTGGGCAGTGCAGGTAGCCAAATAACCCTGTGTTTTGGTGCATTACACTGAGCTGTTACTTTATGCCCACCCCCGCCACCCTGCCACGTGCCACCCCTGTGGTGCTTGCTGCCATACGCTTCATCTCATCTGAGCCTCACTTCCCTTCTGGGGCCTCTGTAGTTCTGGGTCCTTTACGAAGCGAACATTTGGTGGGTGCTGCTTTGTGGTAGCCCCACCCTGCTGCTGCTCCTCTGTACCCATGCTCACCCTGGAGCTGGCAGTGGAACGGCCCCATTAGAGACTGCGGCGTTGGCTGTGGGAGCCGGTGAGCCCACCGGGTGGAGGGGCTGTGTTCTCTGTGGCAGCAGGTGTGGCAGTAAGTCCTGACGTGTGCCCCCGAGAAGGCGGAGCGGGGCTGGTGGGCAGAGCTGGCTGCAGGGAGCAGGCTGATGCTCTCTTGTGCTCCCCCGCCAAAAGCTTTGGAAACTAAAGCCAAAATATACTAGCATAAAGAATATGGATGAAGAACTATATCCCTCTATTGGATATTTTTATAGATGGCTGACAGAAGCTGAGGAAAAAGAGACCAAGTCAGTGGAAATGGTGGATTCTAAACTATTCCATTGAAACCCCCAAAACTCTTGGCTTTATCAATGTCTCAACACAGCAGAAGAAACCTGCACACACACCCTCACCTGTCTGTAGTAGGAGGCCCTCTCCTGGGTCCCTCCAGTCTTGCTTTCAGAGGTGCTGGCACCCAACTTGCTGCACAACTCCTCAGTGGTGAACTGGAATCCAGGATTGAGAAGCCCACCTTTCTGTCCCACCGGCCTGCAAAGCCCAAGTTGCGCAGCAGCAGCAACACCCAGGGCGGCTCACACCCCAACATGCCTGGGCACAAACTGAGAGCTCAGCCAGAACTGTACTGCTGCCCACTCGGAAGACAGCTGCCAGGAGGGGTGACCCTCTGCTGGTGTGAATCATTAAAAGGGCTCTCTTTCTGCTTTGTTTTTCAGGGATGATAATGGTGATTTTACTGTTGCTCGTGGCCATCGTGGTCGTTGCAGTGTGGCCTACCAAGTAGCGCAGCCCAGCTGGGACACCCGCCATGCTGGAGGGAACCTCAACTCCCTTTGGTACCCGAAAGCCATTCTTAATAAATTCCCCCAAGCTCGGAACTCTTGATGTGCGTGGCTTCAGTCAAGGCAACTGGCGCGACGGGTCAGGAGCCTCGGGCCCCCGAGCCTGGCCCTGTGGTATCTGCCTTTGTCATTTTGGCGCTAGCCCAAGGTGCCTCCGTGGTCCAGCAGTCGATTTGGAACCTCGAGTGTCTGGTCTGTTGAGGAAGTCACAGGCCCATGTGAGAAACAAGCGAACAGTCAAGGCCAGGACACCCAGGCTGGGAGGAGGAGACACGAGAGCCTGGGCAGAGGGGTGGAGGCGGCACAGGGATGTGGCCACTGCGTCACCACCCCCGCCACCCTGCCATGTGCCACCCCTGTGGTGCTTGCTGCCATATGTGCAGAAATATTTTAGAGTCTAGGAACTGCCGTCACACCTGGAAGCTCACGTTTTTTCATTTCCTCAGTGATAGTTAACCTGTTTTCCAAGGCTAAAAACATCTTTATGAGCAGCTAGGATGATGTCTGTCACATAAGGCGGGAGGGGTGGGAGGCAGGTGGGAAACCACTGTTGAAGGCTCAAGAAAGGTGTGATTACAAAGTCAGGAGAACAAAGCCTTCATTTGGCTTAAACTGGCTGTGACAGCTGTTCGTGTGTGTGTGTGTGTGTGTGTGTGTATGTGTGTGTGTGTGTTCATGCACGCGCATAGTGCAGTGTGATGGGGTAGGCCTTCTGGCTTACAAGAGAGCCCAGGGCCAGGCATCAGGCCCTCTGTCCTCTTTAGGGAAGGAAGGAAGGTCCTTTGCCCTCCGTGACAGGAGAGGATTAGGGCTGGTGATGGGGCAGTTTCCAAAGCACATGGTTTCATTGAGGAAAAGGAGAGCATGGGCCTGTGGTAGGGGAGCCAGGGAAGGGGTGAGGGGGTGTGGTGTCTGCTGTGGATTTTCCAGACCGGGCCACTGACTGCCCTCAAGAGCTTCAAGAGTCCTTGAGCTGACCTCTGCTTGTGAGCCGACCAGGGCACAGGACGTGCTGCCTGGCATAGCGCCTCCTCCAGGACCTTGAGACTCCAGACTCTAGCTATGCTGGATGCCTGGGAGGCCTGCACCCACCTCCTTGTAAGTAAGTCACTGCAAAGGATGGGTCCTATTCCTGGGAGCTGTTTTCTACAGCTGTTTCTGCCCTACCTGAGTGTTCCTGCTCCCTAACAGCCCACGCTCCCGTCAGAAGCGGTCCAGCTGTCTTGCTTCATACTAGGACTCTGCTCCCTATCACTCAGGACAGGACAGTGCTGATTCACAACAGCTCACACCATAGCAGCCTAGGGCCCTCCCTTATGTACGTGTCCTGCTGCATGTCCACAGCCTTCCCGTCAGGGCCTCTGACCACATCTCCTCACTGAATTGCTCAAGCCAGTGAGACAGCCACTGAGAGCTCCAGAAACCCTCCACCTGCAGGGGAATGTTTGTCCAGAAGAGAACCCGTTGCTCTGCTCAGTGGCCAGAACCAGTCAGGCAGTCCACCCCCAGGGGACCATGAAGTACCCCTACAGCAGAGCGTGAACCAAGTAGTGACAGCCACACCCACTTACAGGTATGTAGCTAAGGGCCGATATCTCTCCCTGTTTCTTCCTCTTGAAGGGGAGATTGTCTGCCTCAGAAGTTGCCGTGAGGATCAGGTGAGTTTGCAAGTGCAAGCATCGAGCATAAAGCTTGGCTCAGCTGAAAAAAGATTCTTCCTCTAACCAAATCTGGACCGCTGGGCTCCAGGGGCGGGGCTGAGGGACTTGGTCACATGCTTTCATCTAGTGCCACAGAGTGACTGTTGAGCGGTGGCTTCCTTGGGACCCCCCCCAACCCCCTCATCCCCGTTGACCTCCAGGGGCTGCCCAGGTGTGCATACCTATACTTGACCTGGGTGCAGATTTCACAGACTGACCGGGGCGTGTTTGAATCGGGTCAGGAACCTGCTTTGAGCACAAACCATGCCGTCAGGGGACTGGATTTTGAAGCACAGGGGAGGCTTTTCTGAAGATAGGTGTGTCCCTGTAGGAGATGGGCCATCCTGGATGTGCCAGGGCTGTGGAGTGGACGGTGACGTGTCCTGGGTGCATTTTCTCACAGGGCGGGCCTGGGGTTGCCAATGCATCACCCAGTGGCAGTTGAGAATCTGCAGTCACCTCCTCCAGTTTTGTTGTGTGAAACCCCAAATGTATAAATACCGTCTCCTTGGAGCCCCCCACTTTGGGGCTAATGGGCAGTAGCATAGAAGGTCTGTTTGACTTTCTCACCTCCTCTTGACTTGCTCAGCACGGAGCCCCGGCAACTCATGGGGCGTCTTTGAACCAGAGCCACAGCCTTCTGGCTCAGCCACACGGAAAGGCCTTTTCAAGCCAAACACTGAGCCGATGTCTGCACACAGTGGCTTCTGTTCTTTTGACTGAGTGGGCTCTAGGCCCAGCCCGCCGCTGCTAGCTGAGTGACCCTGAGCAAGTGACTTTACTTCTCTGGACCTACCAGCAGGAGGGGGATGAAAAGCTGGCAGGTTAACTGCAAGGACCCACAGTGCAAGCCTCGGGCAGCACCAGGCTGGGGTCAATCAGGGGAGGGGTGGTCCTGGGCAACATAGGCTCCACCTTTCCTTAACTTACTCAGGAGACACCCACCCCCCTCTAAACTGAAGGGCAGCTGAAAGGAGCAAGGCAGTCCAATGGTTGGAATGAGCCATTTTGTGAGATCTGTTGCTGTATGGCCCAGCTTGGAGTAGCACGGCTGAGGTAAACCAGGGTGTGGGCTTCCCACTTGTCTTGGCAAAGCCAGGTTTTTCCCTCCACGTGCTCAGGACAGGTCTCGTGAGCAGTGAGCCCTCACCCCAGACTTGGGAACAGGAGCAAGACACCCTGTCACCTTGGATGCTTTTTCATTCAGAAAAAACTTTATTAAAATAACAGTATCAGACGGCCCTCCCTGGTGGCGTAGTGGGTTAAAGCAATGCACTAAGAAGCTAAAGCCACTTCCACATGAGTTCGATCCCCGCCTGCTCAGGAGGAGATCCACAGGGCGTGGCAGACCTCTCCTGCCCGCCTGCTGCTCCCCTCAGCAGTGTACTTTGTCGATCTGCCTGTTCTGCTCCCCGCTCTATCTCTGGTGAATCCTCTCACCCTCCACATCTCTGGCCTGTACCCCAGTTCCATATGAATAAATAAATAAATCTTAAAAAAAAAAAATAACAGTATCAGTATTGCTTAACTTTACTGAATTAATATAAGCATGTTAAGTCTGGATACCATATAAGGAAATCCAGATACCTGCTTACAACTTGATACTTTGGTACTTCTGGTCCATGGAAGAAACTTCACTATTATATTTTTTTAATTTATTTATATATGCATACAGAATTGGGGCACAGGCCAGAGATGCAGGGGATGAGAGGATTCACCAGAGACAGAGTGGGGAGAAGAACAGGCAGATCGACCACTTTCACTGCTGAGGGGAGCAGCGGGCGGGTCAGGAGAGGTCTGCTGTGCCAGGAAACTTTACTATTATTAATAACTGTGATGAGATCTTGGTCTTCATTAGCCCCAGGGTGATCTCCTTTGGAGACACGCAGGGCTCCAGCAGGTCTATGGAACTTGCCTTCCACCAGGCTGCTGCAGAGTCCCCACTGCCCCTCAGTTTCATAACCACCAGGCTCTCTCCTGTCCAGCCGAACAGTGGTGGCCAGTAGCTGCCTTTCCCACCCCATCTGCAGAGTGGCCTCAGCTTCCTGGGAGTGTTCTGCAAAGACTTTTATTTTTAAAACAGTTGGCCAAGACTCATCTTTTCTCTAATTGCTTCATAAAATTTCAGACTTCCTCCCAACCACGTGCCAGTAACAATGAATTTATTTGCCTCTTTCCAGAAATTACTTGCGGCCTATTGAATCTCCAATTTGTAAAGCCCTGACTGAGTTCGTCTGCCACACGCTTTCTCTCCCATGGTTCTGTTCATCCTTCACTTAGGTTTAGCTGGTTGGTTTTTGGCATATACTATGTTTTTAATCTTCAGAACGCATGGAGACGTGCTGAACATGGACAGAGTGAACATGTCTGCCCAACAAAACCTGAAACCTGGGCATGTCTCCACCATGCGCAGGCAGTCCCCTCCCGGGGCACCCTCTGGAGAGGGAGGCAGGCTGCGCCCTGTGCCCGTCCACCCGGTGTCCACTCCACAGAGCCTCGCATCTGAGGTGATGGGGACCACTGGTCCCTGGTCCCGAAAGCCCTGCGCTTTCTGCAGGCTGGGCCAGACCTGTGCCCCGGGAAAAAGGGCATCGCAGGCAGACCCCATGCAGCAGGGGAAGGGCTGTCCATGCCTGCATTCTTGGGCCAGATAAGGCCCGTTGCTCGAAACAGCTGGGTGCAGAAACTACAGCTTCCTGGTGACGCTCAGCTCCCCTCTGCATGGCAACACAACATGTTCCTAATGACTGAGTTGTTTACTTAATAAAGAAATCACAACCACTTGGAGGTTTAAATATAGTCTCAGAAACGCAGTGAGCTCGGCTTCTGGTGACTGTGAGGTGCTGGCTCCTGCCACCTGCCACCTCCCTGCCCCACTTGAAGCCTTTAGCAATGTCTTGGGGGGAGGAAACGGTCTCACTAACCCTGTTGTCTTCCTTGTGAGTCTCTTCTTGATTTTGAATAGGAGCGCCTGACTATGTAAAAGGAGAAAGCGTTTGTTACATGATCAGAGTTAGGTAAGTTCAGAGGTGCTCTCTGCTATTGAATTTGGGGTAGGTGGGAGGTGCTTCTTTTCTGCTGGGACCCAGGGAATGGCCTGGACTGGGATCTCAGAGGCAATTATTTGGAGACTGGAAAGCAAATTGTCCCATAAGACAGGCTTTTAGCTTAAAATTGCAACTAAAATTGCAACGGGAGCCTGTAAACCCCTAAGGCTTTACAATCAATTCTGCCCTTTTCCTGTTTTTTTTTTTGGGGGGGGGGGAGGTCCATATTCTTATTCTTTATGTGGCCCGAAGACCCACATCCCCTCACCCCCCAGCTCAAGCCACAGAGAAAGACTGGGAGCCAGAACAGTGTACAAGAGTTTATTTAATTGATATCTGAATTTAGTTCTATCATGTGTGGCCCATATTACAAGTTCCATCTGGGTCCATTACAACTCTAACAACAACAACAAAAAAAAAAACTTAAAAAAAATCCACAACTTTCTCCATGTCATTAAATATATTCATATATAATAACCATAATATATTAGTATGCATTGGAAAGGAACACTGACCCAAACAATGTGTCATGGTCACAACTAAACATTTACAATTCTGAGTGAACAGAACTCTGAAACGCAGGGGGGTGGGAGGTGTGTTGGGAGCAGGGGAGAGATGTCAATGACACACAGAGTGGGGCTGCTGGGTTTCGACGGGGGAGGCCCCATGAGCACACACGGCGTCAGCCCTAGGGCTTGGCGTGGCTGTGACGGGGACCGCGGCGGCCTGGCTGCAGTCTCCCTCGACGAGGGCGGGCTTCCGAACGGTGCCGAGACCCTGACCGCTTTTCATTCTCCAATCCTAACTTAGAGTCTCCTTCATTTCAGACTCATTCCAACCTGGGGCCCACACAAGTCTGGGCCCATTTCCTGCAGCTACTGTGGAGGCGGATTCCAGGAGGTGACGAGGGTTCTGGGGCAGCTCCCTGGCCAGGATAGAGGCCACCCCTGCAGGCAAGGCCCTCCCCCCACCCTCTAGCTCCGCTGTGTCAGTAAGCACGCACTCCGCTGTCGGGCCCCAGATCACCTAGCAGGTGAGAAAAAGGACAACTGGGGAAACTTTTTTCCTCCATAAGAACTAATCTGGTATATTTTTCTTCAAACACCTACATATCACAATTCTGGTTAATACACTCTTCAAAAATCAAAATCTAGTTCCATTTTACATCCCTTCTAACTGTACAAACTGGAGCACCTCTATTCCTTCCACCTCCTCCCAGAGAGGGTGGGGATGGAAGGACCAAGGGTGGTCCTTGCTGCTGAAGGTGGTGGCTGGGTCCCGGTGCTGAGTGGGGCAGGGCAGGGCAGGTTTGGGAGCTGGGTGGGGGCAGCCTGTGCTGACGGAAATCCCCAGTGTCCAATCTGGCACCTTCCCCAGGAGCTGGCTTATGCCCACAAGGTGCTGAGTCTGAGGGGGAGGCTGGGTGAATTTAAAACAAGATGCACAACTGTTCGGCAGCTCCCTGGCTCCAGGGCTGAGGGGCCTCACACACACACCTCACTGGATGGGGGTGAGACAGATCCAGGTGGGAGGCGATGTGGCTGCCACCCAGAAGCCAGGCTGGGGAGGAGAGAAACAGGACACTGCCCTTATCCATGTACTTTTCAAGGCCCTCGAGCCTGGTGCTAATGGCGCTGGCAGGACATGGTGGGCATCAGAGGAGGGCGGCCCCTACACCTCCAGCCCTGGGCCTCAATTCAGGAAAGACACATCCTCCTCCCAGGCAAATTCTGTCTTCACTCTGCCAGGTGCCTCTGGAGTCCCTTCAGAAGTCCTCCATCCCCGGGTCAGCCACGGCCTGCCTTCCTGGAACCGCGGACTTCCAGGGTTGCCCGTGTGAGTTATACCCTACTTCACCCACCGATCTTGCTGCCAGGCTCCACTCAGTGATCAGGGAGAGTCTCCAGGAGCACCCCTTGCAGCCTGCTCTGGGCGTCAAGAGGTAAGGGGGGTCACAGTGCCTGCAGGCAGCAAAGGGCAGTGTGGCCAGAGAGCCGCCTCAAGCCTGCACTTAGTCCTACCACGTGTTGCCCGAACACCTTGGGCACATGTGCTTCACCTTCCTCACTGGTGACAAAGGGGCGAGCATGCCTGGCCCGGGGTGGCTGTGAGGATGAGATCATGGGGATAAAGTGCCTGGCACAGGTGCCCAGTCAACGGCAGCTGTCGCGGCTGGGAGGTGGAGGGTGGCCAGACCACGAAGGCCAGGCTTCATACCTGGTGTGACCCTTTGGCGCCGTCAAACTCCAGCAGGGAAAATGAAACCAATTTCCTGACTGAGCGGGGAGCCAGGCCTCTTAATTCATTGTGCTGGGTGTGAGGACATGGGCCAGAGGCCCCTGGGCAGTGCAGAGAGCTCAGGAGAATGGGCATGGCCTAGGACAAACCAGACCAGAAGGTCTGGAGCTGCCTGCTTGGGGGACAGTTGCTCTAGAAAAGGGGGCATCGCCACCAACGTGGAAATGGGGCAAGGAGGTGTTGCCAGGCTCGACAGACCAGGCCAGCCCCAGATTAGGGAAACTGGCAGAGACAGGAAGTGGCCATGGTTTCCTTGGCCCCCATGGCTCTGGCCCCTCGCTGAGCCAGCAAGCCCCTGGCCCACGCCTGCCCGCTGCCTTCGCAGCCTGCATAGCAGGCCCGTCCCCGCCCTTCCCAGCTGTTGACACTGCTGCGGGGCCTTGTGGGAGCTGATGTCATTACACAAATAGTGTCCCTGCCTGCCGTAAACCCAGCCCATGCCCCATCCTGTCTCCCCTGGAAAATGTCATAAAAGGGGCCAGTTCCAAGTTTCCAGAGAGGAAACTCTCTGGGAGGTTCTGCCTTCACCGTGCCTCCTCCACCGGCAGCTCCAGCATGTGCCAGTGCCCACCCTGTTTGGCTTCTCAAGGGTGTCCTCGGGCCCACTGCCTACAGGTCAGAATCTCAGCAACCTCCTGCTGGGCTGCGGTCAGTAGGGGCTTCCTCCTCTGGGCTCCACAGGCTGGAGCCCTGTAAACCCCCACTCGCCCGCATGGAGAGGGACCAATTCCGCAGGGCAAAAGGAGACCCCAGGCTGCTCTCCGCCTCCGACAGGCCTGCCCAAGCCCCTGCATTTGGGGTCCAAGCTGTCACAGCCAGGGATCCGTGGGAGTTCCCTAAGAGGATGGGGGAAGGAGAGGATCTGCAGTCTTTCTGTTAGGAGTGGTAGTTTGGCTCGGCTTGCTCAAGGCCGCCCCCCTCCCCCAGGCTACAGCGTCAGTGAATTCACAGTTCTCCTCACAGCCCCTTCGCCAGCGTGAGCCAGCAGTGGCGGCCCCACGTGTGCGGTTCCGTGGCCAGCGCTTGGGCCCCAGGCACGCTGCCCCGCCCCTTCCACGGAGACCCCACCTAGCCCTTGGGGAGCGCGTCTCTGCTCTGGAAGGAGCCCATGAGGTAGCTAAGTCTCGTCCTCATTTCTCCAGGGCCCGGCCTGCTCTGCACCCCGCCCAGCGCGACTCCAGCCTGGGGCGCCGAGGGTGGGGTTGGGTGAGGGGCCGCGGCAGGGAGGGGCTGCAGAGGGCCCCGCCCCCCGGCCCCCACCTCGTGAGCCAAGTCCACTTGGGCTGCCAGCTCGAGCGCCCGCCCTTCGCCCCACCCGCCCGCGCTGTGCCCGCGCTAGGCCTTTTTGCACTTGCCCTTCTTCTCGCGCTGCTGGAACTTGCGCAGCCGCCGTGCCCACGTGTCCCGCCACTGGATCACCAGGCTGCTCTTGTCAGCCACAATGCCGCTCTGGTCCGGTGAGTCCTCCGCGTTGCCCAGCAGCAGGTACTTCTTGAGGGGCTTGATTTTAGGGCACTTGCAGGCGATGTCCCGTGAACGGATCCACAGGCTCTGGTCACCCCGGCGGATGCGGCTTGTGCCTTGCTTGTACACGGAGATGATGTTCACCGTGAACTTCCACCAGTCCCCCGCCTTGTCTGCCTTCAGGATGTGGATCTGCACGGCTGCAAGGAAGCGCACACCATGAGGGGGCCTCTCGTTGAGGAGCGCTGCCAGGACCCCAGCTTCTGGACTCAGGTGTGCCCTGCCTGCCCCCAAGGTCCGGAATGGGGCAGCGTGTTTGACAAGGGAAAACGGGATGCAGAGGAGTTGTGCTGTGACTGTAAGGGGTGACCTGGGAGATGGTGGCAAAGCTGATTCTGGAAGCCCATAGAAACTGACCTCCACACGCACTGGGGAGTGGGAATGCCCTCTAGGAGAGCAGTGCTGGCCCTTCCTTGAGGGCTAGGGAGGGGGCATGAGGCTTTTCGGGTGGCCCCCCTCACTAACACACACCCTGCCCTTAACCCAAATCTCAAGCAACCACACCAGGATCTCAGTGGCCAGGGGCCGGGCATCCTGAACCCACCCTGGAGCACCCTCAGATGCCCCACGCCATTCCCTTTCCCATTCTGAGCATTTCCTCCCCTGTAGGGGATGTCAAATGCAGCAGGCACTTGAGTCCCTAAGGATGTCAAACATCACTCTGCCTGGCCTAAGGACCAGATGCACGAGAAATGGATGGGGCCCAGAGGTGCATTTCTTAGAAACTTCCGGGTGGTGCTGATGCAGCTGCCCCATGAGCATGCTTTGAGAGAATCAGTGCCCCACTTAATGTAGGAGAAAGTACAGGGGGTGAAGTGTTCAGGGAAACCTTGCTCAAACGTACTTGTGACATAGGGGTTACACAAAGTCGAGGGCTTTTCCTTGCTGCAGGGCCTTCCACCCCAGGTGTGTGTGCCTGCAGGTGCGGCCGTGTCCTGGACAACCCCAACCATAGAAATCTCTGCTTGGACCATTCTGGGTCAGACGCGTCCCCACCGACCTACTTTGGTTACTGGGAAACCAGCAGTTGCCCCCAGTTCAGAGGGGAAAGAAAGACATCTCTGCTGCACTAACCCCCTTCCCGCCCAACAGGAGTCCCCTGTGCAGCGCTGAGCAGCCCGGGGACACATGGCCCTGCTGCTCAAGTCACAGGCACAGCAGCAGGCTTGAGCAGCCCCAGACGTGCCTGCAGCACACCCCTCGCTCCGCCGAAGCGGCGGCAGGCTCCCCTCAAAGTCTCCGAGGGCCACTGAGCCATCTTCACGCCCAGGCCAGGCCAGGTCATGATGGAGCAAGGATGGCGGCCCCGGGAAACCCTGAACACCATCCCACTCGTCTGGGGTGAAGAAGCGGCAGGTTTTCCCCAATTTTCATTTCAGTTGTTCTGGGCATCCTGAACTTTGCACTCCAGTCTGAGGGCTCCAAAGAATGGCTGCCATGGCAACCGTTTCCATGTTTTTGTCACCAAGGGACTCAACACTCAGTGTGAACTCTGAGCGGGGGTGGGGAGCCCTCCAGCCCAGAGAAGTGGCTGGGCCTGGTGTGTTTGACTGTGCAGACGGAGGTCACCGTGGCAACTGAGTGCCCCTCAGCTAAGCAACGGGGGAGCCATCCCCGGCGTCCCTGAGAGCCCCAGTTTCCTCTCCTCAGAACTGAGCTGAATACAGAATGAGCCTCCCTCAGGATCTGCTGTTTCCCAGCGTGGGACCTCGGACCCCGGGACCAGCCACGCTGTGCTCCCGGCTGGAGTGGGCGGAGGTGCTGCCGCAGGCACACAGGCCAGGGCCCCTGGAGCACGCAGGCACTGCTAGGCTGTGTCTGCTGCAGCATTCATGTTGAGGCCCTAACCCCCCACTATCTCAAGGGGAGGGCAGTGGGGGACAGGATCTTTATAGAGGTAATTAAGATGAGGTCTCCAGAGTGGGCTGCACTCCACCTTGGCGGGTGTCTTAGACTAGGACAGCAACCCCAGGGAAGGCCGCACAAAGGCACCCTGGGACGATGCATCTCCCCGCCACCAAGAGGCCTCCGAGGCAGCCAACCTCCCACAACTCGCTCTCGGACCAACCTCCACAAGGGAGAAAATAAATTTCTTTTGCTTAAGCCACCCAGCCTGTGCTACTTTGTTGGGGCAGCCCTCGTAAACTCACACAGGCGGAGTCAGGGCCTCGGGATCTTGGGGCTCCTTTCGGGGCCCCGTGGGAGGGCAGACTGGTGAGGCCTCCCAGCAGAGATGAGGCCGAGAAACTTTCAGGATATAAGATCAGCTCTTGCTCGGGGCCTCCAGGGACCCTTCTTATACCTTCGACCTCCCAGAATGTGGCCTTTCACGACAGGCAACCCCTGCCCCACAGTCGCTGGTCCGGAGCACAGGGCTGCCCGCTCCTCTGCAGGAATGCTCGGGACGACCTGGCAGGGCATCGGAGAGGCCTGCCCAGCCCCAGCAAGCCCCCACACAGTCAACACAGCCTGGAGGAGACCTGCTGAACACGGAACACACCACAAGGGGTACCTGTCCCTGGACACCTCCCTGGCTCCAAGAGTCCAGGGAACAAAGCCACCAGCCCGCTCCTCTGCCTCAGCAGCTCCCTGGCTTTGGGGTGCAACGACACAGGCCCGGGGGCAGAGGTAGGGAGGGTGGTGGCAGGATTCATGTGATTATGCTGGAAGAAGTCCACATTTCCACTGCCCTTGGCAATGCCTCCGCACATTACACAGCCCACCAAGTATGAGCTGCACACACAGCGCTCGGGCCAAGTCCCTGCAGCGCACATACAGCTGAAAATATTCAAAATACACATCGAAACGGTGACCTCAGGCAGGCCTGCTCCGCACGCTCGGAGTGTATCCGGCTCAGCGTGGCACGCCGCCGGGGCTGCTGATGCCCTGCTGGCTGAGCGCCAGGACCGTCTGGGGTCTCCCGGGGTCCAACGCGGAGCCGGGCACGGTGACTGGGCAGCTCTGCCCATCCGAGCGCCAGAGTCCCCAAGGGGCTCCCTGACCCCCACATGCCTTAGCTCTAGGACATCTGAGCCCCCACTGTCTTGCATTGGTTTCCTAAATCAACCTCACTGCGGCCAGACTTGGGGCTCCGGTGAGGGCCTCCTCCATTCTGTTCTCAGAAGTTAGGTAGATGAAGTGACCAGAAAGGAAGGTCATGAGGTCAGACAGAGCTGGGAGAAGCAGACAGACCCCTCAAAATCAGACTGGACTGCAGAAGGGAGGTCCAGCCAGAGCGGATGCTGGCTGGGAGGGGACGTGGCCTGCAGTCCACTGGTGCTATCAGCCCCATTCTCACAGCCCATGCTGAGAACTCCCTCCCTCACTCCTTCCCTCGACCCCTGTGCAGCCAAACAAGGAGGGCTGGGGCTGGACAGCCACTGTGCCTGCCCCAGCGGGCACAAGGCCTCTCAGGTGAGGATGGCACCGGAGAACCCAGCTGAGCCATTGTAGCCTGGGTGCCCCAGCAAGTCACAGAGGAGGCGTCAGCAGGACAGGACCAACACCACAGGACAGCTAGGAGAGTGTGCACGGGCTCTGGAAAGCAGTCACCTCCACTGTCCTACACCTAGAGTTTCCAGGCTGCCCCTGGCCTGTGTGGTGAGCCCTTCTTCCCTACAGCCAGCCACAAGCTGGAGCAAGAGTGCAAGCCACACAGCAACCCGTCTGCTTCCGGGTTTGCAGAGTGGACTTTTGTGCAAGGAACACTTCTCTGCCCCCAGAGCAGGGCTCCAGGGACTACCTCTGCTCTAATTCCAGCTACCAGGGGCACCACCTCTCTCACCTGACTGCAGGGCTGGCTTTGACTCCAAGGAGCCAAGAAGGGGAGCGAGGACCCAGAAGGCCAGACTCTTCGAGAACAGCTTGTGCCAGCTGGCTCAGCAGAGGGGCAAGGACTAGAAGCAGGCAGGGTGCCTTGGCCAGTCCTGGGCTTCCTTTCAGCTGCAGTTTGCCACACCCAAGCTGCAGCCAGGGCACCCTTGTGGCCTTCCACAGGGGCAGACATCTGGCCATCCTTCGCAGGGTGCCTCAAGCTCTGCAGAGTCCCAGCACTGCGAAGTGATAGGTAACCTGAGAAGTGGGAAGCTGCCAGGCACAGTCTGTGCCCGGATTCCTCCAAAAGCTGACCCACTGCCCAGGGCAGCCCTGTCCTCTGCCCCATTCATTCAACACCTGCCTCCCTCCCTTCTCCAGGCCTGTCAGCTCTGGGGCCTCCAAGGACCTGGCATCGCCACCACCCTGGACAGTTAGCTCTAAGCTGACGGATGGCTCAGCTCACAGGTCAGGGGGACCGACCGCCTGCTGCGATCAAAGCCCCAGCCCAGGCGCAGGCGAGGTGCAGGGAAAGCCGCATGGTCAGCGAGGAATACACAGTTGCTGCTCATTCATCTTTGGCCCACCCGAGACAAGCCACCTGCCTGAGGGGAGTGGCCAGGCTGGGAGCCCGGAGACTGCTGGCTGTCCTCCTCGCCCCAAGTCCCGCCGCTGGGACACCTCTGCAGGGAGACTTCCTGCCTCCCGGAGGTCTCCTGGATTTATGGGCTGCTCAGGGCGGGCCCCCAGGGGCTTCCCAGCAGCTGCCCCTCACAAGGAGGCTTGGGTGGTCAGCCCCTACCCACCCCCCCAGCCAGCCACACCTTCGTGGTGGGCCCGTCCAGCTAGGGAAGGCTTGTCACCCATCTGCCTTGGAGACAGCAGCCAGGACGAATGGGGGAGGACATGAACCCCACAGAACCCATTAAAGCCATGCTGCCCGCCCCATAAATCTCCGGGGCTAGAAAGCATGGCATGAGTTGCAGCTGCCTTCATAAAATGCAGCTCTGACCACATGTTTCCCAGTCCCCGTGAAGGTTAAGAAACTGCTGAGCAGGGCCAAGTCTTGCTCTCAGGGATGCTAATCTGCCAGCAGGGATGGGTGAACAAACGGAGCAAGTGTGCTAAGTGGGGGCTCAGGGCAGCCGGGCAGGGCCCACACACCAAAGACGGGGTGTCCCAGCTGTCTGGGCCCAGTTTTTACTAAATGAGGCGGAGAGCTGGAGGCTCACTGTGGCCAGGCCCGGCCACCCACCTCGGCCATGGCCACCCTTCATGACAGGCTCAGGCAGGAGAGGGACCTGGGCCTGGCCCAGCCCTGCCCCAG